GTGTTGAGTATTTAGATGTTCTTTGGTGACACCCACATTTAGTAGCCATTAAAGAAACGGCCACTAAATGGTGCCGCGTGAAATCAGCTGGAAGTACCTGACCCAGAGCTTCATATTGGCGAGCAGGTCGTTGTTAGAAGTTTGGAAAGGATCAAATGTTGTGCCATTGTCTTCTTACCAGGTTTCTTGTAACTGACGTAGATGTAGAGCGCGAGGACAATGAGCAGCGTAACGAGGGCCGCCCACCAGTTAATGACAAACATCACCACGCAGCACAGGATCGCCCCGGCAAGGGATACCCACATGTTGTAGTATTTGAAGCTGGGGCGCCACCCTGTAGTGGAGGGGTGAGAGTAGATCAGACGTTAACAGGCCAAACAGAGGGATTTCTTTTGATGTTTTTAATAGAAATTATGTTTAGTTCAGTGAAAAAACAACAACAAAGGACTTTTTGTACTATAAACATCATTCACCAATTTGTATACTAGCTAAAATGCCATTAAGAGATGAGTCAAGACAAGGAAGATTGAGAAAACTTTCAGAAATACTAGCATAACACTGTGGTAATTTTCATATAATCTATAATCTAGTCATAATTCCTTTACAGTTCCACAGATTACCTGGAGAGCTGGCCAGGGAGGCATGGAAAACTGAGAAGTTGATGAGAGCATACGAGGCCAGAAAGAAGTTGGAGATGATTGGAGCAATGATGTTCAACTCCGCTAGTGGACAAAAGACAGGTTTAACATTTTTTTGTAGATATTTTTATTCTTTATGTTTCTTATGCAGGAGCTGAAGGTTTACTTAAACAGCTCACCAATCAGGATGAAGGCAAGACCAATGCAGAAGGTCAGAACGTAACCACGGAGCGGCTCATTGTTCCTGCCATAACCCTTTGCAAACACACTAAGTCCAGGATAGATGTTGTCCTTACAGAGAGCCTGGGATAAATACAGCTTTTATTAACTTTGAAATCACTCAGTTTAATAAATATAGAAGTAATGTTGGCAGGTTCGTCAAGCAACTTTGAAACAATCAGGAGCGGGCAGATGAGGAAATAAGTCCGAAAACAGCTGAAACAGAAATAAATTGGAGCTTTATGGTTCTGACCTGGAAGACTTTGGGTGCACTGACGAGCGAGGCCAGAGCTGACGACAGAGTGGCTGAGAAAATCCCCGCGGTGATCAGAGGACCGAAGGCCGACACCAGACTCATAACCTGCACGACACAGGAGCATCTTTTAAAGTCACGCTGACCAATAAACATTTAGAGGATATAAAAAGTCACATGATTCAGGTGTTTTGAGAGATAGATTATATACATTGGCCAATGTTAGCGGAGTTTTAAAGTCTCTGATTTTATTGTAGATAATTGATGGTGTGCAGTGTGACCTTCATTTCTTCTATTTTCAATAATTCATTAATTGTTATTATTATTATAATAATTCACTCAATATTCCACCTGTGTGACTGTGTTTCTTCTACCTGAATCATGTCACTCGTGTGCCATTTCCACAGAGGTGTTTTCTGTAAATTTGCTTCTAAATTAACTCTGAGGTTTCTGTCAGATGATTTAAATATCTGTTATTATGTTCTGTCATTTTTTGACAGCACAACACATACAGTACTCAAGCTTAATCGAAACTAAAATGAAGCACAAATTGAAGCATTTTAAAGATATTTCCATTGACAGTTTTTTGTGAGTTTTTGCCACAAGCCACGATGTTACTGTCGCTGCACTTGTGCTGCCTTACACAGCCCCAGCATTGCCGCCACATCTGCGATAACACTGAAACGCAAGTACAGTACCGTCACATTTCCTATATTTATGCAACATTTGCTTGTACAACCTGATATTCGAGATTGAATATTGCTTTTTCTGCCCTGATAATATTGGTATGTCTGGGACAGAGGTTCTGACAGATGTGCACGGCAAAGTGACACAACTGTCCCCCTCTGAATTTTAGTTACTTTT